CCTTGTGTGGAAATCTCATCCAGTGGATCTGAAGCTCTGCGTGCTAAGAACACGGCTCCTGTAACTCCAGCCTCACCTTTCTCTAAAGCCAGAGGACAAATCACACCAGTCTAGTACTATTCAGATACTTTGAAGGTGACTAGGACAGGAATGGTGTAAAAACCTCACCCTGAAGATGAGAGGCATTCCTAACAATGAGCATCACGTCTCTGATAATGTCACTAGGAAACAAAATGTGATTTTCCTAATGAGGAGAGCAAATTATCCTAGTGATTGAAAATTGTTCACATGAGGACTAACAGAACAATATGTCAGGTTGCCAGGGAAACGGAGGCCTGATGCAATCCCTTGCTGGAGATGAGGGCTGAAGTGAAGTTCAGAGCATAAGCTGCGCCTCAGTGTCATTGAGCTGGTCCTGTGGGGAGACGTGAGTGACGTCCGTACTCTGCATGCCCTCTGTCGGTAGCCCTGTGGCATTGGTCACCAGACTCAGTAGGGCCTTGCTCCACCTCCTTTCACATCCTCACCGCATCCTTCACACCGGCCTCCTTGGCCAACTGGGCACATGGGAAACGCTCCAGTGTCCCTGGGACCCTCAGGCAACCTTCCTAAGGGCATGCACAGTCCAACAAACAGGCTCCTTTGGTAGTGCTGTGGGAGGTGACTTGGTTATTACAGTGTGTTTCCTGTAGAGGAGAGCCCAGAATCCCGACTGGCAATGACCGTGGTGCCCGTGACAGATGCGGACATGAAGCAATCTATTCCTCCCCGTTCTAAGGCCTCCTTCTGTGAGGAGGCTGCAGCGGTCCAAAGAGGCCTGCTTTGCATTGTCATTGATGGGTTATTTGATTTTATGTGCGTCTTTCATAGTCTGTGCATGGTTTCAAGAATAGGTGTATTTCCTGTTCATCACTACCTCGCAAATGTGTGCAAACGCAACATTGAAAGGGTCAGCCTCGAAGAGCCTGGCAAAGAGGGTTTGGCTACGTGACTTGCCTGGGACCTAGTTAGGACTGCTTTGTGTGGTCTTGCTCTATGGATTCCTGTATTTGCTGAATTATTCTATGTATAAATGAAGATCATGAGTTTCTCTTTTAATAAGCCTTCAAAAAATGTTGCTATCTTTGTGCCTTAATGTTCGTGTGACATACATGCATATACGTTTCTGGGCATGTATTTACTGGGACTGTGGAACAATGGTGGAAGATAGTCCTCCCTGGGGAGGAAATGGCTTTGAGTCATCTGCCCCTGGATGCCCTGGAGGTGTGAGGTTGCCACCAGAAAGAAGATATAAATGCAAAGAACTTATGACAGAAAGCCTGAGACCACCTGGACACACCCTGCTCTATCCCCCAGCTACCACGCTCCACCCTCCGCCCTGCATTCCTAGTGACTGTGCAGCAGCTGTTCCCTCTCTGGAAGAACCAGGAGCCTAAATAACAAGGGCATTCATGAAGCTCAGGTTCTGCTGGGGCGGGACACAAGCATGAGTAAGATGTATGTGTGTGCACAAGGCTCACAAATAGGTATTTGTTAGGAAAAGTGAGCAAAATAGAGTGGGTGGCTGGAGAAGATGAATGTTGTGGAGGGACAAGGAACATGGGATTCAGAGCATCCAGGGAAAGCCCAGGGATGAGGAACAGGGAGAAACATCCAAAGGAAGAGAGGGAGGGAGCCCCCTTGGGAGTCTGTTGCAGACTGAGGAGAAAGGAGAGCATTGGGAGGGCCCTGCGTCCTCAGGAGCAGCCCTGCAGCTAGGGGCCAGAGCAAGAAGAGAGGGGAGGAGTCTGGGATCCTGGCGGGCTGGGGAAGAGTTTGGAGCTCTCTGTCTGCGCTGGGAAGGCTGGGGAGGCTAGGTCAGAGGGATGGCATGGTTCACAGGCCCTCTGGCTGCAGAGTGGGGCCAGTCTAAGTGGACAGGCAGGGGCAGGGCAACGGAGGAGCTTGCCGGATTAGCCCAGGGAAGGAGTGTGGTGGTGGAGGGAGAGAGGAGTGGCTGGTTTGGGGTGAAGGTTGGGAGGTGTCAGGGTCGCTGCTGCATTCAGGTCTGCATCCCACATTGGTGTGGTAGTCTTTCTCCAGCATGGGAGAGTGAGGGGCCTGCCTAGGAGACCTCCACGTGATGCTCCTGCAGAGCCAGGGGCAGCTGGAAACGGAAGCTCTGGATCAGAGTCCTGAGGAACAAACCGAGGCTCCCATTCCACTCCAGAAATGGATGACGTGAAGATCACTCTCCAAAGGGGAGTTCTGTTTGCTTTCTCATCTCCCAGGGTAACCGTAGGAGTGGGAATTCACGGTTTCTTCTCTCTTTCCTCTTAGCTTTTGCAAATCCCTCACTCTGAAGACAGGATCCAAGTCAGACACTCTTTTCGATTCAACCTGATTGCTGGGGATTAGGATGCTAAGCCCACAGGCTCCTCTGAGAGAGAGAAACAATGCAGGACATAAAAGTAGGCCCGTTTATTTTTAGTGCATTGCAATTTAAATATGAGGGAATATTACCCACTAGTATATTTTATTTGTTCTTTCATTACTTCAAACTGAAGGAATTAAAACTACGGAAACAGAAATTACAGTTACAGAGGGATAAATACAGCACAACCCAGGATAGATGTAAAAATCTTTCCCAGTGGGACATTTCAGAGAATGGATTACCCAGCCCCTGCCATTCCATGAAGGTACCACGCATGTTCTACGCCTGTGTTTGCATCCTTAGCTGCAGGAAATAGCTGAGTCTTTGCTTTCGCAGTAGGGCTTTAAAGACAGAACTGCAAACTTTAAAATGTGCCCTTCCACATCTTTATGTCCACGCCAAAGGGAAAGCGAGCAGCAAATGGAACCACGGAGCGTCCTTATAAAAGACAGCCTTTGATGAATTGCCTTACATTATCGGACCGTCTGCATGGAAACTTGGAAATAATATTATTATGCTTCAGGTATTTATTTCAATGTAGAAAAAATATTGATTGCCCACAGAAACAAAGGCAGGGGGAGACACTGCTGGGAGGAGGGGGCTCTGGGGACGTGGATTTCATTACATTCTACAGTTATTTTTCCCAAGGGCCATTAAGACAATGCGTTTGATAGCTTGATTTCCCTCCATTGCAAATGCCAGTGTATTAAACGATTCTGGACAGACTGCCCCTTGGACTTGAATAAGGTAGATACTTTTAAAGCCACTGGGTGTTTGTCTCTCTACCTGCAAATATTATGTCCTTTCTCCTAGGAAGCACTTATGTTTGTTTTCTCGGAAGTAACACATTTCCATCCATCCTGGGGCTGACCTGAGAAGGCTCATGTTCAAATCTAGTGTCATACAAAATAGCTTAATCCATTTTGGAGACAGGATAGAACTCTTGCTAGTACCAAATGAATAATTTAGGTATTATCATAATTATCATTATGAATCAGTGTGTGTCCAGACTAAGGCGGACCCAGCTCTGCCTAAATGTCCCTCTGGCACGTCCGATTGATCTGATATTGGGGCTGGTATTGATTTAAGATTAGGGCTTCGCCTGGTGTCTATGTCTACATCGACCTTTACATCATTGCGACCATAAAACATGATTTCCATTTTACTGTGACCAGTAACTCCCTCTCCGCAGAGCGTCCTAAAGCACAGCCGACAGTAGGGGGTGACACAGCAGTGTTTGGATGAGGAGCTCTTCTTCCTGCCTCACCTGCTCGGGAATTTCTAGCCTCTTTGAGTCTGGCTCCATTCAAAGTTCAAAAGTTGATTTCTGAGGTGGGCAGAGGGGGAACCTTGAGACAAGATGTGCAGTTGGGGCTTGGGGGCTGCAGCCCCATCTCAGGGTTGAGGCCACCTGTCTGTCCCCCAAGTACCCTAGGCAGGGCCATCGAACACTACCGGGTCACTGTGCACAAGCGCAGAGGCACTGAGATGGGGACACCGAGAGTGCAGAGCTGGCCCACACTGCTAGGTTTATTCGCTTGAGCTGTGTGAGGCGCAGCCTCCTGCAGGTGGGTGAGTTGAGCACACACTCATCAGGCACAGCTGGCTGAGGGTGGGGGTCAGGTGCTGTCTGCCACCTTGTTCCTCTGTGATATAGGGCAGCGGGGTGATCAAAAACATCCAGAGCCAGTGTACCCCCATACAGGGACCATGGAGCAGGACCACGGGTTCCCCGGGGCAGAGGGCACAGCAGGGAGACAAGGTGGCCCAGCAGAGCATCGGTCTGAGAAGGAGCAGGGTACACACAAAAGACCACACCGGAAGACAGCACCTGGGCTTTGAGGTAGAACCTGTGTCCCTGGTCAGTGGGACAAGGATCCTCCAGCAAGGCTGCAAGGAGACATGCACAGTCAAGAGGACACAGTTGGCATGGTGCAAAACCAGGGGACAGCAGAGACCAGAAGTCAGGAAAGGGCCACAGAAGAAGTTGCCACCGAGTGTATGGGCAGAGGGCCCTGGTGGCCCAGAAGCAAGATGACCTTGCAGAGGTACCCTGAGGATGTCCCCACAGCTAAGCAATGTAAGAGGTGTCAGGTAGACACCAGAAGACGTGGGGAGGGCAGCACCAGGGCTGTCAGGTCCGTGGCTGTCTGTGGAAGGGTTTCGGCAGTGCCGGGAAGATCTTCCACTCAATCAGCAGATGACGCAGCTCCTCATGGGGACAGGACAGGGCCCCGGCTCCTATTTCAAGCATCTGCCTGCATGGGGCGTGTGGGGGTGCTGTACAGTGTGCAGGGCACTGAAGCCCAGGCCCCGGCGGTGCCAGGAGGACAGGAAAGGGAGCCCTGCCAGGTTCAGTGGGCAGAGGAAGGACAGACTTGAGGCGCATTGGGGCTGGTGGTCAACGCGACATTTCCCCGCAGCAGTGTTGCACAAGCTAGTGATTCCCCAGCCCCAGGGGGTCTGAAGGCAGCAGAGAGGAGAGGGAATGGGAGAGCAGTTTGTGCAGTCACCATTCCTCACAGCAAAACACCCGCTTTCCCCTTTCACCTCACACCCGTCCTGCAGAGAGGGAACGTGGACTTACAGACGGAGTTCTTGTGGCTGCTGTCCTTGCTGGGGAGCATCTTGACTCCTCTTGACTTCAGCTCAATTGCCTTTTTCACTGGAAGAAAAAAAGCAAACCGTGAGCAGGAGACTCGAAGATCAGACGCCACACTGCAGCCTCCTGAAATCCCAGCCCTGGGCTCTGCCCTGGTGAGCACAGCCCTGCTCTGCGGGCTCAAGGAGAAAAAGCACAGGAGCACCACAGCGAAAAGTGGCCAAAGGCAGGCTGTCAAGCAGCAAGATCGTGTCTCACACAGCACCGGGTGCTGTCACCTTGCACACCCACACCTGGTCCCCATGGGGAGCCAAGCATTCACACACCACTGTCACTCTTGTCTCCCGGGCTATGCAGGCAGGGGGCTGTCTCCACCTGTCCCTGTCCACAGTGACCTGTTTCCTTACTTTTTTTGTCCACAGAAACTTCAGATAAAATGCAAGTTGCTCATTCATTTAGTCCTGTATTCACTCAATTACTTAAAGTTTTGCAAATGCACGGTGATGGGCAGCCATTGTGTGCGGACCTCCTTCCAGCAGCCCTAGATGAACCGTGGGACAACACTAGACTTTCCAGACCTTTGAGCTGCAGGCCAGGGAGGGAACACACTGCCCTGGTGAGAGCCCACAGAACTAAGAGCATCTTGCTTTTCTAGGGCCTGCATCAGACACACATAGATGTGGAGAAAAGAGGAGAGGAGAAGAGGGGAGGGGAGAAGTGAGGAGGGAAGAGGGAGGAGAGGGGAGGGGAGAAGGGAGGGAAAAAATGAAAAACCAAAGGAAAGGAGCAGAGTCCTAGGGGGAGTGGTGAACTGCGCTCCTGCTCCTCTCTCCTCTTGCTTCGGGCTCCATCAGAGTTTCTCGCCTTCCTCTCACCATTCTATCTGGGTCTGGGTTCTGGTTTTGAATTTGTTTGTCCTGGAGGAGCCAGGCGAGGCAAAGACAGGTTACCCTGAGTCTGTGTCTCCCTGTGATTGCTCTAGCTCTCCGCTTTGGTCTGGGGACACGGGCCGCTCAGCTGCAGCTGTGGCAACTCCCACCCAGTGCCCAGGACCCAAAACTCGCCCTCCTCCCCACTGTGCCAGTGCCCACCCCTCACCGCACTCCAGGAAGCCCTGCTTCAGCCTCTGCCCCCAGAGGAGGAGTGCATGGATCCTGGATCCGGACTCTGAATACACTGAATGGAAGTAATGCTCTGATCACACTTACGTGTGTAAGACATCTGGAAGCAAAGATGATCATCAGAAAGGTACAGAGAAAGATCAGCTACTGACATTTTTTTTCACATTCTTCAGAGGTAATAGAGTGAAAGGATACAACCCACCCTTTCCCACCATTCGCCTAGAAAGCAGGACTTTAAATATGAAATACAAAGCAATCCACTGGCATTGGTGTGGACAGCTGTTTTCTGTGTCCAAGGCCCCACTGGAGGAAACCTCTCCAAAGGAGGGAATTCATGGGAAGGTGCAGCACAAGCAGCCTGCTGGTATGTGAGGAGGATTGGGAGCAATGTAGAGGAATCTGTCACAGTGAGGAGGCCCGGGTGACAGGTGTAGCTCAACCATGGTAGTCTAGCACTAATGTGAGATCGGTCCCGAGGCCCAGAGCATGAGGCTGTGCCATGTCTGAAGCAAGTTTGCTGAGCTGCACCTGTGGGTGTGAGCTGGGTTGCTAGGACAGCAGGTGCTGTGTTCTTAGATTATTGTCAGAGCACTGGACACTGCATTCTTCGTTTATCTTCAGAGCACTGGACATTGGAATCAAAGGTTATTGTCAGAGCACTGAATACTGGATTCTTAGGTTATTATCAGAGCCCTGGACACTAGATTTTTAAGTTATCATCAGAGCACTGGGCACTCGATTCTTAGGTTATTATCAGAGCCCTGGACACTAGATTTTTAGGTTATCATCAGAGCACTAGGCATTAGATTCTTAGGTTATTATCAGAGCCCTGGACACTAGATTTTTAGGTTATCATCAGAGCACTGGGCATTGGATTCTTAGGTTATAGTCAGAGCATTGGAGATTGGACTCTTAGATTATTATTGGTGCATTGGAGGTTGGATTCTTAGATTATCATCACAGCATTGGACATTGGAATCTTAGATCATTATCAAAGTATTGGATGCTGTATATGTAAAATATTATCAGAGCGGTAGATGTTGAATCATTAGACTATTACCAGAGTATTTGATTTTGGAATCTAAAATTATTGTCAGAGTTGGATGATGAACTCTTACATAATCATTAATGTAGTCGACATCAAATTCTTAGATTTTAATAATTGACATTGGATTATTTTCCAGAATGTTCCTTCTCATGGAGTTCCCTTGGTTGAATAAGTCCATGAGTTCACTGGCGTATAGACCTGATACTTACTTCCTTCTTAGATAAGCCAAGTAACCTGGCCTCAGACAGAGGATGCTGCCCCTGTTTAATCTAGCCATGAAATCTGTCCAGCCACCTACAGGGTATAAATCTCAACGGTCAAATCTTTCCACACAAATGTGAGTCCTGGGTGCATTTACTAGGTTGGTGGAGGAAGTAAGAGGGTGAAGGGCTTTGTGGGCATTGCAGAGCTCTTCCCAGCTGGTTTGGGAATGAGGAAGTTGGAATGCAGGGTTACATGGCTCACATGAGTCCTTATGGTCAGAGGCATAAGCATGTCCTGGGCTTCTGGCTATGGAGGACATGGGGTCCAGCCACTCGGGGTTCCTTCAGGGAAGTCAGGAGGTACCCATGGGTGGCTGTTCTCCAAGCTGAGCCCCAGAGAGCAGCTCTACCTAGTACCATGATTGTAAGAACGACCTTGCCCAAGACTAACCAGAGGAAGCCAGAGAAGCCCACAGAGGGGGACCACTGATCATGGTCTCAGCTCCAAGCACTCATGGTCACCAAGGCTTTGCCAACCTCTGTCAGGGCCAACTTGTCCCCAGCAAGACTGCCCCCACCTCCCCAGCAAGCATGGACCCACTCAGTGGGTGAAGCACACCCAGCCCACTCATGTCCACTCAGGGGCCACCTGCGGGAGAAGGCACCAGCACCGGCTGTCTTTCCTACCGTCTCACCCTGTGAGCTTTCCTTCTGCCTTTCCCCACTGTGCTGAACAGCACAGAAAAGAGCCCGAGAGTGGGGCTCTGCCCGCTGTGATCCTCCTGTTGGCTGCATGCTGGGGTCTCCCCTGGGTGATGGCCCTGGAATGATGCTTTCGTCTGACCTGGAAATGCCTTGGTGTGTGTCTCCCATTGTCCCATTCCCTGTACTGCAATAACTTTATCTTGAAGATACTCAGGAGACAGCAGATGAATGCACAATAAACAACAAACGGGAGAATCGATGGGAGATAATACAGAGCATAAAGCTCAAAGCAAATGTCACCCAATATAAACAGGTAGAACAAATACAATTTGAGTCACTCAGAGACTGAGAAGAAAGGCTGAGGAGCCCTCGAGTGCCACGAAGGTGTGGGACACGCTGGGCCCGACAGTTTGATGAACTAACAAATTCCATGATTTCGCACATAAAGTAAGTTCCGTGAAGCTAAAATTTCATAAGGGAGACTTTAATGTACTCGTTTCTCAATAAGATGGTATCTGTCCTCTGTGGGCTCCCATTCTCCAAGTAGCAGCCCATTTCATGTCCTCGCAGCCTCTCCCTGGGCAACACTGCTTCCTGGGGGTGATCCTCAGAGCGGAAGTGTCACCAGCGCCTCCTCCATCTGCCACTGCATGGGCCCTTCCTTGCCTCACCTCCCTGAAGGGTTCTCTTGTCCTCTGTCCAGAGACTTCCTCCTGCTCTTTTTCTCCCCCTTTACCTCCTCCCCCTCTCTTTTCCTTCTCCCCCTCCTCCTCTCTCTTCTCTTGCCTCCTACCCATCCTGTCTCTCCTCTCTTCCATGCCCCTCAGGGATGGGCAGAGAGGGTTCTTGCAGAATGACCTCAGAAGTGGAGGCAAAGCCTGGGCTGCAGGATGTAGGAGAGATGACTCCCTGCCCGGCTCCTCTAATGGCCTGCACTGGTGGTACTCTGGATCCTACAGTAAATGATAAAAATCCTCTGCATTGATGACAGTGGTGATTCTCAGGTTTAATCTCAGATGTACCTGGTCAGAATATCCAAGCTTCCATTATTTTCAGCACAACTAATGAAGTTTCTTTTGTTTAGCCTTAAATTTGCTTCATTTTCTGCTCATTAGCTTAGGCTTTTTCTTCCTTCCTTTTTGCTTTTCTTAATCAAAATGGAAGGTTCTATACTCTGCCTTCTCTGTTTTGAATCAGTATATATTTGCAATACATCACGATTCCATTTATTTTGGGGAATTTGTATTCTATATCTATGTATCCATCTCCCATCCATGTACATGACCCTGTGACCATTTTCCATCCCTTTTCCCCATCTACCCTTCTTCTCGTTCCTTTGGATCCTTCCCTGTACCCACAAGGTCTACTTGGTGTCATTTCAGGGTGCACGAAAGTTAAGTTGGAGACGTCAGAGCTAAAACAAGGCCTCAGTAATTCAAAGTCAGCTTCAGTAGCTGCAGCAGGGCCCTGGGGGTGCTGAGATGCGTCGGTCAGAAGGCACAGAATCTCAGTTTGGCTAGTGGTACTGATTTGAAGAGATCTGCAGCACAAGATAAGCATGACAGTCACCAAGCGTGACAGTTACTGCTGCGCGTGCGTGAAAGTAGCCCAAGAGTTGTATTTAAGCTTTCTTATCACAAATAGATCTGCAAGGTAGAAACAAAACAAAGCAAAGCAATAGCCCCTTCAAATAGATATAATCAATGCCCTTTCCTGTAACATTTAGGACAGTGAGAATTTCTGGGGAAGTATTTTCCTTTAAGGGTAGAAAATATTGAAAAGTATAACAAAAACTATACATAAGGAATACTTTTTCTTGTGTTTTATCATTTTTCTTTTGTTTAATGTCAGCTGCTTCTGCCGTAATTGCATACTGAGTAGCTGAAGCATACTTTCTTTAGATGGTCTAGAAATGTGAGGAAACTCCTGCTACACTGGGAGGACAAAGGTTCCTTGCTGTTGTTTGCAAAATGTCAGTGAGAGCTG